AAGATAAGCGGCCAGAAGCCATGGGTTTGTTGCAATCAAATAATGGAAGTTCCCACTGAGAAGTCAACCCAAAGAAAAGCGAGCCTTGACCCCCAAGAAAACTCAGAAATGGAAAACAGAAAGAGCAGTTCAACTCAGTCTTCCCTCACCAACCTTATCTGAAACTCCAACATTCCAAACCTATTTGAGTTCGTGTAAAAATAGGGTGTCCCCTATTTTGTTGAGATTTATTGGGACCCATGTTCAACCCAGGTTTCGCACCTCTTTCACCGCAATGTTGGTGGGCGCACAAACGAGGCACCGATTGGCATGTCGTTGGCGTTTCGCAGCCCGCTGCTGCTCTTCCTGTTCCTTCCTTCGGCTCCGATGGTTCGACCTTCCAAGGTGTGGAGACAGCAACTGGTGGAGATTGGTGGATGTTTTGCCGGCACAGTTGGGGCGGGAAGATCATTTGGATATGGATATGTGTACAGTATATATATATCCTTATATACGGTATCTAGTTATTTATCTACCTATCTATCTATCTATCTATCTATTTATTGATCTATCATCTATCTACTTATCTTTTACTATTATATATATATATATTTATTTATTTATTTATGTTTTATTTATTTATTTATTTAGCTAGTTATATTTATCTTTAGCTTATATCTATTTTTAATCATAATCTATATTTATATTTATATTATTTCGTATTTATGTTCATAATTATGTGTATATTTGCATTCATTTATTCATTTATTTTTTTAATCTATTTATATTGTAAAAATCCATGGATACACATCCAAATATGGTTTGATATGGCTGTAAGGGTTGGCATGTGCCACGCCAAAAGGCCAAAAGGCCACAGACTTCCCACTGCTGTCAGGTGACATTTCAGGAGCCTCCTCTTCGGTAGACAAGGCCAGCCTTGCACATTCTCGCAGGAGGACACTCAAAGTGTGCGTCTTGCCGGTGCCTGAGCATTGGCAGCATGAGGAAAATGGCAGGAAGTGGAGAGGCATGCCATAACATGTCAAGTGTCCATAGCAACGTCAAAATCATTTGAATCATTTGAACAATTTTTGAACGGAATTCGATCTGGTTTCCAATGGTTTCCAGCCTGGAGGTCCTTGTACCAACTGCACACCATAGGGACATTGCACAAGACTGTTCACAGCATCAGCCTGCGATTGGTTCAGACCCATCGCTGCAAAATCTTCCACCGAGCGCATGGCGGCACATCTTTCCTCCGACACGCTGCCGAAGACGGTGCCTGCGGGCTTAAAAGAACCCACCAAGAAAAAGTAGGCCAAAAAAGGAGGATAACATGTAAAGTAGTAATTGTTAGTAATAAGTACAGTATTTATCATTGTCTTGAAAAGCAAAGCATCCAAAAAAAATCTGCCTCAATCTCACGCCCCAGCTACTCTCACGATCTGGATTGCCAGAAATTTGCTTCTGCCAAAACACAGGGTGATGCTGATTGGGTTCTGCCAAGGCTGACGCAATTCGGAGGGCCGACATTACGTTACACTGCAACAGCGCCAAGCGCCACCGTCGTGCATGACCTTTCACCACAAGCGTCACAGCATCTCCATCGTCATCCCAGCCCTCCAGCTTCATAACCTCCATGCCCTCGCGAACTCCGAGGCCCCAGGCCTTGCCATCCGGATGAACCCACTGGACCTTGTCACCGAATTGGGATAGGCTGATGTCACAAATGGCATGTGAACGCCTCTCATAATGAAGTTCCTTCTCCTCGAATGCGGTGCAACTGGGAAGCTCCCCCCTCTGCGTCACCAGCAGAAGAGCGTATTTGCTCTTCGGGGTGGTGTGCACCAGCCCAAAGCGGTAGCAACCTGCAAACATCACATGATTTGTTGCGCTTCGAATACGTCTAATTTGGAACACCAGCTTGGAGGAAGTTGTGGATGCTGCCAACACAACAGCAAACAGAAGCAATGTTAGGCGTGGTTTCCTGCCTCCTTCCTGCACCAGAAAGTTGCTTGCTGTTTGGCCAGAGCCTTCCAGCCCATCACTGATGGCTTTGATCTGCTCCAGGGAACCGTCCTGGCAGAGGCCCAAATTGCATTTCTTCAAGCGTAGGCAGTATAGGGCTGAATCCATTCATTTTAAGTTCGAGAAACACCACAGTATCGACATCAATCAATATCTGCATCTACGGGTAGATCTATCTACAGTATCATTATCTATCTCATCTCATCTCACCAAATCCAATCCAATCTAACCTATCTGGACAGGCAGACCAACCGACCAATGGCATCGCCTCGTAGAGAAGGCTCATCTGCCCCGGCGGTGCCGCACCCGCACGGGCGGGACCTGTGCAGGAGGCGTTCATCACCACCATGATCTGCGAGTTGGGCACCTGGGGATCCCCATGGATCATGGCAAGTCGGGCTATATCAATATATAAGGCACTATGTGTATAATATATACAGTACAGTATATCTCTCTCTCTCTCTCTTTTATAATATGTATGTCCCTCTCTGTGCATAGAGGGAGAGTGAGAGAGAGAGAGAGAAATGCACCTATGTCACATCACATTAACAGTCCGACTTTCTTTTTTCACCACTCAACTCTTCGCCATAGTCAGCCACAGGCACACGGCGAAACCACGGGGGCATGAGGGGAACCAGCTTCAGCTCCATCTTCTTCGCATCTTCGAAGGTCAGCAGCCGCACGGCCTCGCTCGAAAAGTCCAGGTTCAGCTGGGTCGAATCCAAACTTCCACGAAGATCTTCCCGGAGCTCCTACCAGTGGATCTCATATGAGTTCATAGTTATTCTGAACAACAATGAAGGGTTCATTTCTCATTCCATTCGTGTTGAATTCCAAATCTTTTTCGGATACCACCTTCACACAGCACACCTAGGGTGGAACGGAGAGAGTGCCTCCAGCAGTGGCACGGCAAAGCTTTTCCTCAAGCCCGATGCTCAAGGTGGCAGTGGGAACATCATTGCAAAACATGACAATTCAATGCAATTAAGTCGAGAGAATTAGAGAATTGATCATGAGAAGGCAGGAGAAATGATGCATTGCACGCAAGGCCTCACCAAATCTTATGATTTGCCGCCTTTTTGGCGACTGCAGCCATGATTCATGTACTCATGAATGTTCCCAAACTTGTCAGGGATGGGCGTGTTCACATCAACATCCCACCGCTCTCGCGCAGGAAGCAGGTCCCAACTGGAAGAGTTTTTTGAGATTGCATACCTTAGTCCCAGAAACACTGCTTCAGGCATCCTTCAACATGAGCCTTCTTGAGAATTGAATAGGCCGTTGAATGGCATCAAATAGCAGGTTTTTTTCCAGGACCACATTCGTTCCATTCACTGCCAGCTGAGTGGCTCGGATGCTGCATTCGCCTCATCCAGCTCTCTGTTGATTAAAAACTTTGCCACCTGGCTGCCATCGAGGGCAACTGGAAACTCCTGGCATCAGTTGATCCAACTCGGTGGTGTAATCTGAAGGGCAGCATGGCCACAAGTGGACCTGTGAAACATTCCAGTTGCGTGTGTTATGTTCTAGGATTTCCAAGTAACAAATAGGATCATGGTTAGTTATATATATGGTTATTATATATAGTTATATACTCAATAAATCTCAATAACGTATACCCCCACTCACTGCAACCAATGCATCCACCTCCTGCCCTTCCTCCAAACATCCCTGGCTTGGTGGCCACTTCTACGAGACAGTCCTCCATCTCCAGAATTTCAGCATCCTCCTCCGCAGCCTGGTCACCTACAGGGCTGGGGGAACAAGTTAGACTGCATAGGATCTCGTGATTTTTTGAAGTGTGACTTCAGCTATCACATCAATTGCACCCAGAATCCGATCCCGAAACTCTGACTACCAGCACGGCGGGAAAAAGTGGGACAAGTGGGACAGGTTGTGATATGTTGTGATTGGAGTCTTTCATCTTCTCTTCATCTTCTCTTCCCATCCAATCCCAAGTCGAGTGGCCACCATCGGACTCGGCATTCGTATCTTGTTCCATCGAGATGGGCATGTCCGGTGGATGCTCGGCCCGCTCGTAGCCTGTCTCAGTGGAGAACTCCTCAGGCGCTGCAGGGCTCTCATCCACCGAAAAGAAGTAGGTCTCCTGGCCATCAGATGCTCCAAATTGCTCCAAAGTGCACTGTGGTCGGTGATGTTTGACCAAAAAGAGTGCCGTCAGTTCCAGAGTTCCGTCCAGAGCTGTTCACCAAAGAATATGTATGAAGATGTCAAAAACGGAGGCCCTTGGACCCGCACAATTGATGATGTGTGGCCGTTTGTACTGCTAAACCACCCATTTTGCGGGTGCAGCTTCATCAAGACTCCCAACACTGGTAAATCAGTTTAAACTGTTTAAACCCATGTAAAATCTCTACGATTCCCGTGTTTTCACTGTTTCTTCCATCCTCCTTGGTGCGGCCGATCATCTCGGAGGTGGCCCGCAGCACGGCGCGGCGGCCGCGCCAGAGGCCGGTGGTCCAGAGGGTCCAGAAACCCCATTCCTCGGGTGATCAAAAGGAACAAAAATTGCCATTAGAATGGACAAATTGCAAGAGTTCATGATAAGTAATGGTAATTCATGGCTATAATGGCACGGGGTATATCCCTCAAATGGCTATAATGGTATAATGATGATTAATCAGTGGGTTTTGGGGCTAATGAGGGGCTTATGAAGGGCTTCTCTGGGGGTCACCTTTGGGTGGGCTGGAAGAAAACAAGATCAAAATCTGTCAAATAAGGCGAAGCAGCAAATGTCCGTCCAGGACAGATGTCTTGTTGTTAGGTGGAAAATACCAAGGACTGCCCTACACAAGAACCGACATCCAGAATAGCAAATGACCCTTCATGGACAGGACCAAATTCAACTCAGTTTCATTCGCTCTTTCATCTCCCACCACCTGCTGCACTCAGCACGGGGTGGGCACCATGAAAGACAGGTGCAGTGGACATGGATGGAAATGGTTTGCTCGGGCTCGTTTCACACGTGGAACACTGAAATCATTGTATAAGAGTATGAGAGAGAGAGATATATATATATATATACACCACAAAATGCATTGAGGATAAAAGTATGTAACAGTATCATATGGTTGGAACTTCTAGTGCCTCCTTGGCCCCCCCGCTTCCTCTCCACTCTAGTCGTTCAACATGGGAGTCAACACCCGCCTCAACAGGGATCAGAGCTCCGTCTTCTGGGCAGAACTGTTGGTACAGCCTGAAAACTGCCAGGCGCCGGTTCGACAAGCACCAAAACTTGTTCTCAGTCCAGTAGACCTGCGGCCAGTCTGCGAGCTGCAAGCTGCAGGCATGCACACCAGCTTGCAAACGCCAACACGTTGAGAAACGTTGAGAAGATCGACCATCAAATTGCCGAAGGCTTTGGTCAAAACCCATCCAGTCTCTCTCTCTCTCTCTCTCCCTCTCTTCTCCATTGCTTGGTGTAGTTCATGAATTTTGCTGGCCTAAAATCACCTATATACTGCAATCCACTCATGGCCTCAATGTGACTTAACGTCTTGCTTAATCTGGAATCTTCACAGGGGCCTGGACCGTTTCGATGTCCTCCTTCCGAATCTCTCTGTTGATCAGCTGGCGCAAAGTAGATGCAAGGCTTGTCTTGTTCCTAAAGTGTGCCGAGATGGAAAAATGGCTGAAGCCAATGTCTTGGGGCGACATTTGCACCACCTCGCCCACTTTGTAGGGGCATGGCTTCTCCTCACTCAGAAGGCACAGCAGTCCCTGCCCCCAATTCAACTTGCAGTTGCCACTGACTCACACCCACCTTACCCAAAACAAGATGTCTCCGAAATCTCCAAACCAAGATCTCCCAAGTTTGCTTCAAACCAATCTCTCTCAGACTCTCTCATTTTCATCATTTTCATATCAACTTCCATCATCCCCAAAAAAATCTCCAGCAATCCCCTCCTGTTGCCGCAAAAAGGATGGATCCAAGGTGTCCGGCTCAAAGGACAGCGGTAGATACAGCGATTCCAAAAACGGCAGCGACTGCCTGGCCGAGCCTCCCCGGTGCAGCCGCTGGTGAGCCTCCCGGAGCTGGCCGGCCAGCTCGGTCTCCTCCAACCTCGACCGTTTGGCGGATGAGGAGTTGGGGATATCATGGGTATGGTTTGCACTTTAAATAAATGGAAATATGCATATATCTCTATATATATAGAGTATATAAAGATATAGATATTAGATAAATAAATATTAGACATCATTAGATGTAGACAGAATATAAAAGAAAAAAATATCTGATTGTGGATGGGGATGTGAATCAAGAATGATCATCCCTTCCCCCCTGGAAAAATGAAATACCCACCCAGACGAAACCCTGGTTTAGTATTGGATCTATGATCTAATCATGTGGGGAAGAAGGGATTATCTTGATCAAGTTGGCCAATAGGCTGTAACCTGTAAACTGACACCCTTCTGAGATTCTGTCTGACAAAGCAACCTGAGACACTTCGAGTCACCTCTTGTCTCAGAATCCCTAGCCAGCTGAACACAAAAATTCACTCCACCCCTGATTCTAGCCCTCTTTGCTTTTCCATCACCTTTTGAACTTCATCTCAATCATCATAAATAATCATAAATCATCATGAGTCATAATCAAACTTTACATTAAGATCATCATCAATCTCCAATCATCTATCAATTCCCAAAGCATCCCACTCTCACCAGGTCACAGTTGAAAAGCCAAGTCCAGTTGTTTCAGCATGAGATGCGTCCTCCGCAGCACCCGCGCCAGGATGCCATCGAACTCGCTGCCGCCCGCTGCGTCGCTGCACTCCTCGAAGCTGTCGCCGCGCATCCAACGCAGCGTGGCGGAGACGAAGGTGGCGCGGCGACGCAGCTGATTCAGCAGCGAGGCGCCGGTGCACTGGTCACCTGGAGGTGTGGTCGACTGGTGAGACTGGGACTATGGGACTATATTGGTGTTGTAAATGTAAATATTGATTTAGTTTATCCGCAAATTCTCTACAGGGTCTACAGCATTGTTTGTTTTTTACCATATGTCAATATGTTTGTTACATGTTGGATCAATTTTGGTGTTGGGAAACATTCTGGACATCTCTGAGGGATGAAGACCAGAGATGCGTGGCTCAGAAGCTGGAACGATCTTCAGCCCTCCACCGAAAAATGTCTCTCCACATACTGCATGATGTCCCTAGCTGCACTAGCTGCAAATCTGCCAAGCCAGTGACACGTCTTCAGGATGGGGTCGAGTGCTTGCAGCTCATCCTCGCACCATTTCCAGAAAACATCGAAGGCATCGTCCGTTTGGACCTAGCGAGATGATGGCGGCAGGGAGGTGACATCAGAGATTTAAAAATCAGAAAAGGCAGGCTATAAACATCACATTATGCTGAACAGAATGCTGGCGAAACTGCTGGTGCTGGCGCTAATGCTGCGAAACTTCTTCGCAAGGCCATTGTGAGCCTTTTTGTCACGCAGTGTCTTCAGGATCAAATTGGCTTCCCGCCCCGCCACCCCACAGCTCCAACATGCTCCAACATGCTCCAACATGCTCCAACCTCCTCGGGTTCTTCCAGGTCATTCACGAAGCATGACAAAAAAGCCACCAGGTGATCGATGATGGATCTGCAGAAGAGCTGCTTTGGCATCTCCAACAGCCTCCACTTCAAGGTGGCTGGAAAGTCATGGCTGGCAAATGAATCAAATGATCAATGATCACCCAAGTTTTCAACGGGGATCCAAAACTGGTTGTAAGGCCGCAGTTTAGGGAACACCATTCCCATGCTAGCCGAAAACTGGAGGCAGTCGCCTGTCTCTACAATGTGTCTACTTGAGGAGGCGCCAGGACAATTTGTCAGGGCAAAACCAGTCAGTCATACATCTACCATTTCTATCTATGATGAATCATGCGTCAGGCTTTCTCTCTGCCAGCTCATGTGCCATGTTCCTTTCACTTATTGATCACCACAATGCACGGTATTTCTAGTATACCCTCTGCTAATTTCACATCGCTAAGGAAAACCATCGCTTCCTGCAGGTCAATCATGTTTATTGGTTAAATCCCCATGAATCACCAGAAAAGTCCATTAAATCAATTAAATCCCATTAATTCATCCATGTTAGTTTCTCCACTCCTTTTTCTATCTTGGGGATTCTTGGGGATTGTGTTTGGGCTTTACGTCTTGACATGACGGGGCCCAACCTATAGCCGAGCAAAGCAGGGGTCGCCACCTGCAGAAACGCTGCAGCGCGTCCCTTGCGGGTCAAACGCCGGGACTCTTCGAGGTAGCCTTGGGACATCAGCGCCTGAAAACGAGGAACAGAAACGGGGGGACAGAAACAGAAACGATGGAAGTTTGAAGATGTTGGGGCCTTCTATCGACCAACCATTTTATGGTGCTTTTCACCAACACATTTTGTTGGGATTTGAGGATACCCTTCTTTTTAAAGGAAAACTCCATATTTCATGGGTCTTTATTGCTGGTGTCCGGTAGATTTCCCTCAAACCAATCCATTGGTCATTTTCAGAAATGGTGGACTGGACTAGGAAGAATCATGATTGGGATTTAGATAGACAATAACAACCGGATGTGTCTGAAAATGGTTCGTATACCCAAGTTATATGGCAATGTCCAGCTGGCTTGCAAATCTCTTGCTGGCATGGATAGACTCTCTCGCCTTTCTTCTCACCCCAAATGCCTCCAACTTCTGGTCACACTCTTCTTGGAAGATGGAGTTGGAAGCACTGCCCGTCAGGAATTGCATGAAATTCTGCATGCACATCACTGACAGCACGCCACCCCCTGAGCGCAGACACCGCAAGATCAGCGGCCAGGAGAGGTTGAACTTGGACTCCACTGGTTCCTTGGCCAAGGCTGGTCACATGTTCATGTCAACCTGGAAGACAATGGCAACGTACAATGGAAAAGACATGGCAAAACGGCCTCTGACAGCTTTCTTGTGCAGCCTAAATGTCGATCCGATTGCTCACCGCGAATTTCTTCACCAAGGTTGCAGGGTACTTTCTGGTGATGATATTCCACACATTGCCCCGCTTGTCCTTGGTGCGCCTTCCGGCCCTACCGGCCATCTGCATGTATTCCTTGGAACGGGTTTTGAAATTGCAGGAGTCTCTGCCAAGTCAATGCTGACTCTCCATTCAAATTGCTAAGAAGCTGCAAGAATACAGGTGAATCATGGTGAATCCATCCCCTTTTTACATCTTTTTCGGATTCGATGGCTTCGCGTTGGGATGCCAAGGCTCGGCGACGAAGATCTCTCGTTGCTCCGTGCCGTCGAATTTGTGGAACTCGTTCCCGGCGACCCAATTGAAGACGATGGAGCGGCTGGGCATGTTGACCCCCACCGCAAACGTCTCGGTCGTGCAGAGCACGCGGATCAAGCCCTCCTGGCAGCAAAACGGGGTGCCAGCAAATCCCATCCACCCAAGTTGCCAAGGCAGGTTGAAATAGTTTCAACAACAAACAACCGCAACCGAGCCGATGCTTCCACTCCTTGAAGAACTTCTCCGTGATTTCACGCAGAACCGGCAACATCCCTCCGTGATGCAGTCCGACGCCCCTGGCAAGCTGAGATGGGACTGAATGGGACTGGCCTGAATCTGTGGGCCATAGAAACATATAGAAACCAGCTAAATGTCCGCTTGTCCACATTATCAATCGATTCCATCGTAGGGTAGGGGGGGATGAGTGAGAGATGGAGAGAGGGAGAGGAAGAGAAAGAGTGAAAATAGAAGATCAGCAAGATGAGCGGCAATACATAATGCATCAACACCTTCAGCCACTCTCAAACGCTTGTAGTTTAAGGATCATCATGCCTGCTGAGGAGGAATTGACATTCGCGGATCGACTGAAGTTGTCTATCTTCTTCTTTCAGCTGTTTGGTCACAACCATCTCCAGCTGATCCTGCATCTGCCTGGTCACAAGGGCTGGGCCCCGACAGGTCTAGGACTCAACAACCGCCGAAACATCACCTTTTTGCAGGACCCTTAGTGTCGCCACCCAAAAAAAATGATTGTTCAAAATGTTTCACCATACACCCCCGAAAAAGATAGCTGTTTTTTTCTTTTGAAAGATCAACAGACCAACCCCCCAAAAGACTTCAGGACCAGCCTTCGCGCTTGGTCCTTGAGCTTCACCGAAGGTGCCAGCTGCCGGGCCATCTTGGCCGCCTCCTGGTGCTCGATATTGGCTCAAAACTTCAGAGGCTCAGTCAATCATAATATATCCAAGTGATTCCAAGTGTATATAGATATATCTCATCAATAACTACTAACTATAATGCTATAATAATTACGTATAATTATATTGTATTATATTATATTATATTACATTACATAATTTATAATCTATACGGATGTAATGCATATGTAACTACATAGGTTCACCCTCTTGGCGGAAGTTCTATGGTCAGAATCGGTCGGAGTATTTTGGAGAGGCACATCAACCCTGTCTGTCGATAGTTTCGGTGCATCCTATTTTTTATGTCCAAGGTGTAGAACACTAGGGACACTATTACAGTTTGAACACCCTCAGCTCGGTGTCAGAATTTGTAATATTTGTTGAACGTGACTCTGAAACTCTTCGAAACCCGTCTTGCACATGTTTGTGTGGTAAAAAAGATCAACGCTCACACTGATTTTCACATGTTCCAGTGACTCTCTCCCGACCTTCCGCGAGAAAGAGAAAACGATCAAGGGCAGTTGTGCCTTCTCTTTGCAAGCCTGGCCAGATGGAGCGGGGCTTTCCAAATGTGCGATGCCGATGAACATGTCAAGAGACATAAAAACATTTCATACATGGGTTTGGAAATTGGATACCTTGGCGCTCCCAGATCCCATGGTTTATTTTTGGTTTCTCCATTGAAATTGAATTTTTGAGGCAATCCCCGTTCTGGGACAAGCCCATATGCACCTCGACTATCTTCACCAACTCCTTCCCCCGGTCCCCTTCGTCGATCTTCTCACTGGGTTTCGGGAGGGATTTTACAGCTGCCTAGTGCAGGCGCAAACGATGATGACTCGCAATATCAATGTTAACATGTTGACATGTTTTTACTTTGAAGTAACTTACCGTTGGATTTGCAAATATACGATAAGCAATTGGTTAGTTGCACTCCTCGTGGCTTCTCCGGGCCCTATTTTTTGTACTTGGCCTCAATACAAAACACTCGAAGAAACCATGACAACATGCTGGCCTGGTACTCTCTCCGTTTGAACCCACCATGCGCTGCTGTGACTTCCACCAATGTGGCTGGAGGGCATGGCACCACTCCATGCACCAAGGGCACTGGCCGACGGCGGCTGAAAATACCGTGGCATCTCGCATGGCGTGTCTGCGCGATCCATGCCGCGAGATGAAGGAAGTTGGGGACCGTGGCTGACAGTCCAATGAGCTGCACATGCCGCTCCAGCAAAATGATGCACTCCTCCCAGGCTGTTCCACGCTCCTCATCCGCGATGTAATGAATTTCATCAAAAATTGCACAGGACAAGGATTGCATCAAGGCACTTCGGGAGGACTTATCTTCAACCTCTTCATCCAGCATGGCCTCATTGTGTAGGAGACTCACCAAGACCTCCGTGGTCATCACCACAATTTTGGCGGTTTCCAAGCGACCCGCCCTGGCATCGCCCGTCAGCAAGGCCACATCCTCGGCCGAGAATTCCCGGACGAAGTCTCCGAACTTCTCGTTGGACAGTGCCTTGATGGGCGCGGTGTACACGCAGCGCCGGCCTTGTGCCATGCAACGGCGGATGGCGTACATGGCCACAGCCGTCTTCCCGGCTGAGGTTGGCGCCGCAACCAGTACGGAGTCAGCTGTCGGGGCCACCGCAGGGTCAGCGCCCTCGACGCAGGCGAAGGCGGTCTTCTGGAACCAGTCGTAGGCTATGTTGGGATCAGGGCCTTCCAGGGATTTGATGACATCACCCAGGTCACTACACGCTACTTTTGATATGTACATTTTCACTAAACCAGATGCTGTTCTAAACATGGAAGCGGGCTGCCGTGCCTCCCCTGGTGTGTTCGGGGAATGTCTGAAGGATTGCCCAATGTGGGATGCACTACCGTAGCACTACCTGTGTTTCACACATAGTACTACATAGTACGTTGAATTATCTTGAGTAGATCCTATGTTGTACCACTTATGCCATACACGCTTTGGAGCCAAGGGATTCTTTGTTGTGAACAAATTGAATTTCCGGCCGACAATGCGAGGCACTTTTATCACGAGCATCTAGTCAAATGTGGTTCCCTTTGTCGTTCATACCTAACCGTCCTAACATCACGGCCATCACGGCCATCACGGTCCCCCTTTTGTCATATTTTTGACATCGGCCTTGAACGGCATCGATGTCCACGGACTCCACTTTTTTGGCCGCTACGGGTCGCACGCACACGTGCCGTTCGCCTGTCTCCGGACGGTCCTCCACGACGTCCACCTCCAACGCCGCGGAGAGGTCCGCAGAAAGACCGGCGGCGAAATCCATGGCGAACGGCGAGGCAGTGCTGAGTCACCTCATGGCGAAACGTTTGGAAAAGAAGTGATGCCACATGCCGGGTTTGTCTGACAACTGAGAACGCCGGCACAACCTCCAAACGGTAATTTTCACAGGGTCTGATGATAATACAAGAAACCATCAGACTCGAATTGTGCTAGTTGGGCAGGGCCGTGGGACAATTGACTTGGCCATCACATAACTGATGGGCTGGACACGGTTGTTGTACATCGTAAAGTTGTGACATGGGTTCCCATTCAGGCCCTACAGCTGCAGGATAGCAAAGACAGTGTGTTTAACCACGCATGACAGTCTCCCAGCACTCAGGATTCTTGCTCTGAGAGCTGCATAGGCCTTCACCGAAACAGAACTTGCACACATCCATCATACACAAACATATGAAATCTGTGGTATGTCATTTAAAAACCAAATTGATCAAGCATGGGAGCAAGCTTGGAGCAAGACCACTCTGACACGCAAGGTGCGTAATGGCATCAACTACTCCAAGCCGTGTTCCGGCATCCTAAGTATCTGCGAATAGCATTCACATGATTCAAACCTTCCGAAGGACTGGCCAATTTTCAGATCGCGTACTGCGACTGCTCAATCAGACCCAGCAAAGTGCACAGAGGCACTTCAAAGCCCTGAGACGCAACAAAGAAGGCAAGCAAATGGTCAAATTACTGGAGGTATTGATATGCCAGGAACAGGGCGTACGCCACCAGTAGAGACAGTGAAAAACCAGACTTGAAAATCACATCGCTGCATATGTTAGCTCTGTCTGCAAGTTTCATTTTGATAAATCACTACAGTATATGACAGTGCTGGCCTAAAGACCTTCACTTCCAACGACTTTTCCGCCGGTGGCATCCTCGACACATCGAACTCAAAGGGACGGCTTGCCATGCCAACACGGCTCGATCCGTACAAATTCATGAATGCCCCGTAAAAAAAATAGTAAAACAGGGATGCTGGGACATCTGCGTTTGGGTTGGAAATATTTATCACTTTTTGTAGGTGCTCTTGTATTTCTGCTAGATTACACTATTTCTCATAACCATTGAACAGTTCTTCAAGGTATTCACGCAAGAAGATTGCCAAAATGTGTTTTACCTTACACTCCCTATTTCTAAAGAGAGCTGGGGACTGTGAGCATGCGTTTCTTTAGACATTTCAAGATGCCGAGTATCTTCATCTAAGTGTCAGTTGACACATGCCTGTAAGCCAAACCCCTCGTATTGACGAGATGTCCATCAAATATATGAATAAGAAAGTCATGTTAAAGATTGTTGAAAACAAAACAAAACTAGTTCTTCACATGCGCAAGCAAGACAATACATAATTGGTGACAAAACTGCATAGATAAAAACCCTCGTCAAATGATATTGCCGACATAAATATAACGTTCAGAAGTTCAGATCCTCATTTTTTTGTTTCATGCATTTTTTTTTGTTTTTTTTCTTCCTTCATCATGAACACAATTTCTGCAGAATATGTTTGACTCAAAATAATTACAACATCCCCATACCTGCCAACAAATGCAGTATATATTCAAAACAAACATACTGAGTAATTTTCCTTTGGGGCAATGCCATGTATTTTTGCAGTGGCAATAATATCCAAACAAAATATGAAGTATTCCTTGAAAATTTGCACCATGCCCCCCGAAGGAGCGCAGTGTGCATTTCCAAATATCTAACCCTCCTTTCAAAAGTGCAGTACCCCTTTCAGAAAAGCCAATATTTGTGCACAATATATGCGGTACTATTGACATAGAGCATCGCTTTCAAAAGTGCAACACGTCTGAAATTGTGAACACTATCAAGGAATGCTGTTTTGCTTCTTACCACTGCACCACCGAATATTGTCGTGTATGGCCAAAAAAAATCTGTGAAGAAACAGCATTCTGGGAAATCTGAATTACTTTTGTTTGACATGTGTCCTCGTCCCCTTGGTGGATCAGTCCAGCCTTCATTTAGACAATTTTTGTTTAGAGAAATGTTTTCAATACAATCCAACAAAAATGCTTTTGTTTGATCAAATATTTCACTCATATCAAGGGGGTGTTGCACAAATTCAACGACAAATTCTTCAAGGACGACCATACTCTTTCAAAAGAGTGCTGCATGCACACAATATACCATATGTATCCCTGTGTGCATTCTGCAGGGTAGTTGTGCCCACTAAACCGTTTACAAACACAGCCTTATACTACAAAATGCTGCTTGAATCTGAACCAACCCCCCTTGCTACAAAATGATTTGGGGGTTTTGATGGTTGATGAAAAGCCAATGTGGGTCACTACAAAATGCATGTGCGTCACCATTTTGTAATGAAAAACGGGTTGCAGTGACAAATCATGATTTTCTACTAAATGGTTTCTGGAAATTTCATTTTAAATCTTTGGTTCACTTTCCGGGCCCAGGTCATAGCATTTGCCAAGCACAACTAATTGCAACCTTGGGATTTCCATCGGATTCCAAGAATTGACCTTTCAAGAGCGTTCCTACTACGATGCTCCGAGCTATGGGGCCACAAAAACGATCTACGTGCACAACTTCAAATTCAATTGATTGGTTTTGAAACCAAATCTGTCCCATTTTTCCTTTTTAAAGTCTCTACATTGTTTTTTTCCAATTTTTTTGGGCTCGTGGCTCATGTTACCACGAAATGATCGTGAGTCAGGAGCCAAAAATGGTGACCGGAGCATGACTGGCAAAAGAGGGCTATAGGGTTTTCTGTATGACCCAACGCATCCCAAATAAATCACTACAAAATGCATTTCCGAGTTTCAAGTGCTAAATGAAACGCCGGTACAAGATGCAACGCACGCCCTCTTACTACAAAAACCAGTGCACGACTCCATTTTTTGCATGAATTCTCCACGAAACAGGGGATGGTATCAAGCGCGCGTTCACCCTCTTAGTAGTGGAAATGGTAAGGGGAATCCATATTTGTTCAAACAATGTTTAGTGGTCCAGATTTAAAGATGCACATTCTTCAAATTACAATATTTTTCAAAAGGAGAGCTGGCTACACCAAAGCGTGTTAGTCCCAAAACATGGTTCGGTTTTTTTTCACACACACTTTTTCTGCGCGAGGTCCAATGAGTCCCCCTTACTGTGCTTTTGGGTCGGCTGACTGTTTTTATACTGGCCAGTCTCCAGACGTGCTCAATCCAAAGTCCACAATTAGGATGGGGGTAGGCGGCTGTTGCCGGTGCAAAAACCGACATGGTAGTGGTCAGCGTATTGGGCTCTATTTAGTTACCCCGCTAGTCACGCAATTGCCACAGCACAGTGGCACCTTTTACTGCCTTGAATGCACGGTTGTGCAAAAGGGGCTGCGGTCATGAACTGCTGTCATGCCATGCCGTCTCTACCTAGTGAACTGCCTAGCTATCTACAGTAGCTACCTAATTCCTAGGTTTTACCCTTTGCAGTTTGCCACCCTCCTTAGAGTGGCATGGCTCACTGCCGGGCTTACTTGGTGAGACGTAGCTATACCTCTCCTGGCTAGCTGTGGCCAGAGAAAGGGCTGCCGCCACTGGAGCTGCCGCCTTCGATCCCCAGAACTCGGTTCTCGGCCTCGCGCCACTGCTGGAGTTCATTTGGACTCATCCCATCAAAGGGATCTAGCGGAGCTTCCCGCTCAATGGCGGGGTCTCCCGTCAAGAGCTCCGGGCCGGAACTGGAGATCGGCGGCTCCGCCCGCTCGGGCGGTGCTACCCGCTCAGGCGGTTCCTCCCGCTCAGGCGGTACATCCCGCTCAGAGGCGGGGCTGTCCGCACTGTGCGAAGTTGACTCACCTGGTTCATCTTGGCTGGAGTCTGGGTCTTGCCCATGAATCAGCCTTTCTTCGCGCCTGCGCCATTCGATCAGCTCCTGGAGGGTCATGTTGCTTTCTGCCCCTCTCTGCACCCACTGTTCCTCTGACCAGCGCTCGATGCGACTAGGAGTTAGTTCTTCCTGCCGCGGGGTTTCCGCCGGTTGAGGCTGCGGGGCTTCCGCGGAACCTTGCCGCGGGGCTGCCGCTGGCGCATTCACCGTCTGGCTGATATTCAGCTGTCTACCATCTCGGTAGGCGGTGATGTTGAGGCCCACCGTAGCACTATCCAGCTGAAGGTGCACTTCGGCTCCTTCAACCTCTTTGGGCCGTTCGGGAGGTTGATTTTCGCCTTCAGGCGGAAATAGCCAGTCTGTGATCAGCACTCCTAGCTGCCCTAGCTGATACAGCTTCACATAGATGGCTAACAAGCCTATGAGCGCGAGGATGTACAGGACAATTGGATTGATCCACTGATTTCCTTGTCCCTGCGCTCGCACTGCGGTGATCTGGCTGAGAATCACCAACGACTTGATGTAGTTCACACTGCCCTTTGTTTTCGGGGCGGTGCTACCCGCTCGGTCCTTTCTGTTCTCGATCCAAGCAACGCTAGCTGGGACCGGAGTCTTCCAAGCATGCTGCTTGGTCACAGTCGAGACCTTGACAGAGATATCAGAGATGCGTTCTGTGGATGATAACACATCCTCTCCGTCGCGAGCTTCGTACATACCCAATCCAGGTAGGGCTTGCTTTACCTCTGTCCCTGACTTGGGATGTTTCGTCAGAAAGTTTGCACAGTTGAGCGTTCCTTTGACCTTTCCCAAAGCGAGCTGCTTTGACTGGATCGCTCCCTGCACGTAAAACTCACAGACTTCCAGGTGCCTCAACTTGGCTCCCGGTCCTATGCGTTTCGCTGCCTGCATGGCCGACGAGCTGTCGGTCCATAGGCGGGGCTTCCCGCACAGTTGGCCAAAATCTAAGGTGATGAGATCACGCAAGTAAATTGCCTCTCTGGCTGCTCTGGATACACCTCTTAGTTCCGCATCTGGGCTGCTAGTAGCTGGCAGTCCGGGTTGCGTCTGGGTTGTGCAAGCAACCACAGCTCCACAGACTACTGCCACATGACAGTCGGTGCTCCTTCGGCTCTCGAGGCACCCTGCCCAGTC